GTTTTATTCTTCATCCCAACTAACGCTTTACCAACATATGATGATGGCTATCCGAATTTAGACGAATTCAAACGCGTTATTCGCGATGAGATCGATCACGAAAAAATACATATTATGTTTCTACTCTGCACAGACGAACAAGAGAGCGTCGATTATCTGACGGCATTTAGGACTACTGTGCCGAATGTTCATGTTTGTGATGATTATGAAACAGAAAGACGAAGCATGCGTCATGTTTATGGCGGTAACTACCAATTCACGCGAACTGATTACTATATCCACGCATTAGTCAGTGCTATTACATGAAACAATTGACAGTCCTTTTCAATGTCTATCAAAACGATTCAATATTATTGTACCCGTTAAAGCGTTCTTAAACATTGACTTCTTTGTGAATTGTAATATTCCGTTCATTTTCAGTCGTATTTAAGACATCATCAAAACTTATGTCATATTTTCGAAGTTTAAATACATCGTGAATGTAATAGAACATGAAAATAAGTGTGTTGACCATACTTCGCATGCTTGGCAAACAAATCGTTTCTTTTTCTTTGAATAATATTATTCTTGACAACGGACGACAAAATTCCGTCGAAGTATTTTTCCTATTTCTTTTTAAAGCGCGTTAGTTTGCATTGTCGTTTCAATTCTCTTTCGGAGTGAACACATTTTTTCATTTTACCACACATCGAACAAATCTCAAAGAACGAATGGGTAACTGCTGCAGCGGATTACAAAAAGATGGCAAAAATGGACCTCCACCACCTGATCGCCAATCAGGCCCGCCACCACCACCAGTACGCGGAAGAGATGATGACAATAGAGGAGGTGATCCTCGTGGAGGTGGTCCAGGTCCTGCAGGCAGACAAAAAAAATAAGAAAAGCGACTTCGATTCTTGCTTTGGAACGGATTACATTATATTTATTTATTTCTTGTGAAAGAGTTTCCCCTCCATATTATATTTGAATATAAATTTTATCTTAATAAAATTCTCTTTTCGAATGAATTTAAGGCGTCAGACGATTTTGCAAATATATTCAGTGACATGTGCGCCATATGCAAGATCAATACTGAACAAAACTGCTGAGTATCACGATATAAGATTTTTAATTGCATACTAGTTTTCTTTTTGAATGTGTCATAGGTTATGAATTCATTGTGGGTTGTATTTAAATGATCAGTATTTTTTGCCAATGATCAATCTGATTTATTGATCAGTAAAATCTGTATTTTGATCAGTATATTATTTTGTTACAAAACTATTATACATACCGCTTATCTTAGTAATTTAAGCAGGTTTTTACCGATTGTTGGCGTATCATAAACATCTCTGCTAATTCACGGAAATAACCCCTAGAGCTTAGGGATTACCTCCCCAAATATTGATAGAGCGTAACTCTGGTAAGGTTGCAGAGATCGTACGATGGGCACAAAACTATCAGACAATCTGAATCACACCCTCACCCACACCCACACCCTCACCCATGGTGAAAACGTCAACTGAATGCATAACTATAGTTCAATTTTTACTAAGGACAAACTTCGTATGCAAAAAAAAAGAATATACCTCGATTTGAAAATGTCAATCACATTTGAAATGACATCTGTTCATGTAAATCACTCCTAAATGTCGATAAGTAGGTTGGCAAGAGAACGGAGAAGGGATAATGGATATGTATAAGCCAATACAATTTCTTTCCATTCTGATAGAGAATAAAAAGAAGAGAAAATGGATACGATTGATAGGCTTGTCTCATAAGTATTTCTTCTCGTACGATTCAAGTTAGTCATGGCGTCAGCACCCAAAGAACTCGAACGTCACGGTCCGACAGAAGGCTTAACTTTTAAACGTTCTCAAGCCGAACAGTTATTCAAACATTGTCTGAATAAAAGAATCAGTTGGTATGAGCCAATCGAAGAGGGTTTGAATAATTTTCTTGCTTTTGTTGATTGCGAGAACGATACACAACGATACGTTTTAAAAATCCGTGGTGCGTGTTGTGAAAAAATCAAAACTGACTCCGAAGTTACCGCGATGGCGCTCGTTGCAAAACACACAACTTTACCGGTCCCGAGAGTGGTCGCGTATTCGTCCGACAAAACAAATGAATTCGGACTCGAATGGATTGTGATGACGCGTACCGAAGGCAAACCACTTCGAACATCGAGCCATGATAATGATATCTGGACGAAATTATCCATGGAAAAGAAAAAATTGATTATCGATGAACTTGTCGGTTATGTCAAACAAATCCATTCTCAGATACCATCAGCGCCGTTAATTGGAAATTACAAAGCTGATGGTACCATTGGATGTGATAATACTCGTAAAGGTCCGTGGAAGAATTATCGAGAGTATTTCAATGATCAATTAAAAGATAAAATCGAAATTTTGACAAATGACAACATTTTTGCACCGGTTCGCGCCGATGTACTTCAAGCAGTCAAAGAATTTCAAAGTTTAACTCTTCCGTCATTTGACGATCTACCAAATGTGTTTACCCACAATGATCTTGGTTTGCAGAATTTAACGGTAACGGATGATTTACAAATTCGAGGCATTCTCGATTGGGAATGGTCAGGTTCGTATCCAATTGTCGAAGAATACTTTCGTTCGTACAAACCAATTGTGTATGATGAACAAACACGAACTTATCTGTTCGATCAACTAGACAAACAACAAATTCCGACTCCGCGAACAATACCACGGTTTTCACTGCTGAGAAAACTTTATGATTTACTACAAGCAATTGTACCATGGTATTTGACGAGTTTGGCCAATCCAGAGCACCCGACAGTGGAAAAAGAATTGATTAAAAATCGAGATAAAGTGAAGCAACTTGTGAAAGAAATTCGAGAAGAATTGCAATAATACAGATCTTTTTTTTTATTCAGTAAATTATGTATCAAATTAATATATTCCAGCCAATTGTATTTTCGTACACTTTTCTGCTTCATTTTTTCTCTTGCAGTGTGTTAGACAAAAAAATCTTGTAGGGAATAGAAGGTCACAGTGTCATGTTCGTGATTATATTGCATCATGAGGAACAGAAAAGATATTTCTGCATAACACATGGGTAGAATGCGCTCTACTAAGGGTGAAGGTTATTCATAGCCGAATCATCTGTTGTTGTTGATCCATACGTTGATGATTTGCTCGTGTTCGGACAAGGATAATTTTTGGTCGAAGATAGGGAATGTGGTTTGTGAATGTTACCATTGAAATCTTTACTTCGAGCCCAAGAAATCATGGACCATCCATCGTGACCGAAAGAAAAGCCTAGCAAAATTGCGACGCTACTATCAATAAACCAACCATTAGGCCAGAATTTGAAGATCAAAAATCCACTCAACAGAATGATATTCGAATACACGCAAGCCAGTGAACAACATGCCTCGCCATGCATGACCGAACTATTGAGTTCGGCAGCAATCCATGGTTTTGGTAGCCATAAAAGAGTACTAAAAATGAGCATGATAACGGAAATTATGAGAGCTGGTGTTGACGAAGTTGGTTTGATGTGATGAACTAGAGCAGTGATTGAAGCAGCCCATGTTCCGATTGCCAGAACAACTAAGAGTATACCAATACCAAGGGTAGATCGTCTTTCAAGCACTACATTCGCTGGAAAATCATTATTCAGTTCATGACGAAAACGATAGATGGTGAGCGCAGCGGATAAGATTTCAACAATTGATTGTATACCAAACACAGTGAGAGATTTTGATTCAACACCGACTCCGACGCCAGTTGACACAACTCCTTCGGCTGCATTGTATGCGATGCTTATCCACGAGATAGCCAGTGCCAACCTACGCATTTGCTGAGTGTCATATTTTTCGTGAGGAAAGAGACATTCAGGAAACGACTTTTTATTCATATTTACAAAAAGTCAAAGGTATATGTCCAATACAAAGCATGTTTCGATCGTTTTCTTGGTCACCTACTTTTCGCATTACCTATCAAAATGTAACGACATTTAACGCATTGACTTCACCGGTATAATTTTGTGTGTCATATCGGTACTGAAAGTTTGCTTTAAAAAGTGCTTGGAGAGAACAGATTGACACAAGGCGATATTAAGGGCAAAACATATTTAGTCAATGAAGCATGGCATTAAAAAAAATATGTAAATAGAATATAGATTCTGGAGTTATCAATCTATGAACGGTAAGGAAGTTTCATGCTCGAATCGCATCTTGAAACTTTGTAAACATATTGGAAACTTAATGAAAAGAAAAATGTGTATTACTCATCACATACGTACCTTAGATAAAGTGTGCTGGCAGACATTTTATGTACACAAAAATTTCCAAGGCATCAATATGTTGTAACATTCTCAATCACCACAATCACATTCGATTGCTCCACATGATCTTGTATCAGATGAAGATTCTATTGTTTCTCAATCGATATGTGATGAACATTTCATGTGTGACTGCCATATTAAATAAATATCAAATGTGGATACGAATAGTTCATATTCATGTGCCAATTTTAGTACGTATTCGTATCAATAATGATAAACTGCTGTTATGTTATAGATGACCTATTTTATGTGTCCAAAATCCCAATGTTTGCACACATGAGCTCACTTTCAAAGATCTTCTCACGCTAGAGTCAAAAGTACTATTTCGCATTCTCAGCAAGATTATCTTTGGAAATGTGTCACATTTTACAGTATAAGAAAATCTAAAACAGTAATTTTATAAGGTATATATCGTATTGCTTTTCTCCTTACCCTCCTTTTTCGTAGTACTAAGTAAGCGGGAATGAAGTGCACGAATCTACTTTATCTTCTAATCATCATAAAATATGCCCTTCTGTGTACGAAATTCTATATTTTTACTTTAGATTCACATGGACAAACAGCACAATGAAGATAAATCTTAATTCATAGCTGTGCTGTTATTTCGAAAACATACAAATGACATAATGATTGGCATTATGTAACACAAGGAAAAACTGATCGAATTGCTGTAGTCGAAAACACATAGATCCATAGAATCAAACTAAACGCTATCGTCAACAGTTCAGCAACCGAGATAGGCTGTGAAACGCCAAATACTGCAAGCAATGAGTGACCGTGGCCATACCGAACCAGTACGAAAGAGATTGATCGGTGTTGGTGTTGGTTTTGCTGTTCATGATCATCTTGAGCATTGCTTTTTGAGAAAGTGAAGTGAGTGGCGCTACATTTCATTGTTGTGTGCTTCTACATTGATATATTGCAGTGCTAGTGTCGAAGAACTAGGTGTGCTGAGATCTCCTTTCATGGACATTCGAGCTGAATTTAAAAATGTTTTTTAAAAGTCACCTTCTCTAGTATTGATAATTCAGGTTGCATAAAATTCTCTATCATCATATGTCTACGTTATTCCATATCTTCATGCATTCACCCTTTTTTAGTTAAGTGATGCTTAAAGATGGGGCGCGATTCTCAGAGTAGTCATCGTGAATTTTTCTTTTCAGAATATAAATCTGGATCGATTGTGAGTTTTGCTATGCGGTTTACGTTGTTCTTCTGATATAGCTGATCATGAAGGACAGTAATTCTGCATACAAGTTTCAGAAAATGTGCTATTTCGACATGCAAACACAGCTGCTACAATGAGAGAAAGTTTTCGACTATCTTCAGCAGTAAGAATCTAAGAGACAATACTGAATGTAGATCCGTCTTACCTACCGATTAACCACTTTCGCTTCTATATGAAGCCGTGTGTTGAGAGAGCAAAGTCATGTGTCTCGTGACTCCTGAAGTGTCTTTTTTCTAATTAAAATATACGCAATTAGTTTTCTTATAAGATTATGTGAAAAGCAAAATGCGAAAATTTCACCACTGATCCACACTACTTTCGTTGCCCACAAAGCGACTTTTACTCTTCAAATTGTATTCATAAAACTTAGAAAGAACTCTGTGAACGATATCCAAAGCCGAACAATATACTTACAGAAAAGTAGAATGTGAATGATCGTTAGGGTGCTACTACAAGATGAGGATTATAGAAAGATAATGGATAACGAAAAGATACCGAACCTATAAATCTGATTATAAAAGGATACCTCCTCAATGGTAAATGTCAACATTATAATTAATTCAGAAAGAAGACATTGTTCTATTTGTAGACACCCTGATTCGTCCGAACGTAACGGGTGACTCGCAAATGATGGAAGGCTCTGCAATTGACTTATAACTTCTTTGTTAGTTGATCGTTGGAACTCATTCTTTCGGCAAAGGACGCATCGTCAAATTTTCCATAAAATCGTAGTGGACTAGTAGAATTTTTCATGGTACGTTATAATATATACTTTGGCTTCAAGAAAATAGGCAAACTTTATCCATTGATAAAATCTATGGTAACATTGAAATTTGAGTATTTCGTTGGGCTTTATTCTTTATTACGAGATGTTCCGTTACGGCTTGGTGAAAGAATAAACGCGTATCATGCATAACAACAAAAAAGGTTATACTCAAAATACAGTGGTCACCGTTATTTATGGCTCACTCCTTTTCATAAGTTAATAGGATCATAGTAAAATAGATTAACTTAGATAACTTGTAGTTCAAGCAGAAACATCAGAATTCAGAGTCTTGTACCAAGACAAGATTAAAGTGCAAATGCAGACATCTTTCAAACACCATGTAAATAATCTCATCGGATACAAAATGTGACCGATATGTTTCTTAGGCAAATTATCCCTCTTAATTAATTCCCCGTCGTGCGATTAATTTTTCCTCCAATTGTTCAACCTCACATTTGATTTATTGAACGATATTAGGATCTATACAAAATAACGGATTGCCAATTGTTATCATTTTTCTCAGTACAAAGCAGAGGTGTGCAATTCAATTCAATTCAATTCTTGAGTTGAATTGAATTGAGTTGCCCAGTTCTGATACAAAGTTCGAAATAGAAAAGTATGTCACAACACTTCCGACATCTTAGAAACACTGGTTCGAATACAAGAAAATCATGAGATAAAATCTTACTATATGATTATTCCATCAACCATATTCGTACGCACTGCAGCGGAAAACACGCGACGGGTACAAAGATCTTCTAAGGCTATAGTAGACCGATTTATTAATAAGTGATCATATAAAACTACACGAATGTCAATTTTCAATCTTTTTCTGTTCTTTTTTCTATTACAATGACGTCTAAATTATCCAAGGCCATATCCTTGTATTCAAAAGTCGCCTGATGAAGTCGTGATTGTCCTAAAGTGAATTGTTAATCACAAGAGCGACAGTAACGCTCTCACATGTTCTACAAATGGAATTAATTGACAACACAGGCAGTGCCGTTATCAAACGTTGACAATGGTGACTCAATTATTAAAAAGAAAATGTTCTTGAGCAATATCATCCTGTTCATCAATATGCCGTCAAAGCGTCACAGTATGGGAATATCAGGCAGTTTCATTATGGAGAGAGAATGAGTTAAGAAAAAATAATTTGTGTCAAACTTTTAACGCTTTGCAATTTGCATTGGAAATTCTAGAAAAATGATGTTCGCCTAGTGCATATGAAAAATCATGTCTACGCAGATGTTCACTGTTCCAGCAACAATGCAATAAAAGTAATGTTTGCTACTTGGTGATTACTGTCAAAAATTTTCTCGTGTCTGTCTTTTTACCCGTCTTTCTATTAGATTTTCTATTCATTCCTCTTATCACATCATTCGTAAAGAAAGTGTCACTAAAATAGGAGAGACTTAGTATTGAATTAAAATGTTCTCGTCACACTGTTCATCTCAATCATGCGAAAGAAAAGGTTCAGCAATTATCTCTTTTCTTAATCTCTGAAGTTATATTTATACACCGATATTAATTATGTATTATATCGTTTATATAAGCCAAATTTATTTTTTACTCTGTGTGAAAAGACGATGCATGACAATGTCGAATCAGATATGTCCAATAAACATGTTGAGACGAAGTTTATTTGACGGATGTGCCATTAATCATTGTGTTGACAGCAAGTATTGGTTTGATTCTGTTTGCTTCTTCATGCCGTAAAATTCTATTGAATGGTTTTACGAGTCGGGGCCATAACTCATTGTACAAACCGAGAAAACATGCAAATGGCATAATGATTGGCATTATGTAACACAAGAACAAACTGATCGAGTTGCTGTAGTCAAAAACCATCGAGTTGCTAAAGTGACCAGTATAAGCAAGTGTGCATGTAATAGCGTAGGGCGTTTCGAGGACAATAAACAGTATTGTTATAACTATAACTTGCATACTTAACTTGTAGAATCGACGCCACTCATGTGAGCGTTTCATTCGTTTCTGTTGTCCAATGACACGGACCCATAGAATCAAGCTAAACACTATCGCCAACAGCGCAGCAACTAACTGATTCACCGCCAGATACCAACTCGCCATGAATGGAACTGAGTTCAAGCATGTCGCATCACAGAACACCACATTGAAATTGTAGTTAGCAAAGCAAGCCGGTGTCAAGAAACAAGCAGCATTGAATCCAAACAGATAAATCACCAGCATGCCCAGCGGAATGTAATGAAATATTATTCGGTTACGAAGTACTCTCATCATGTTACTGTGATAGATGAGAATGTGCCTTTCGATGGCCGCCCATGCCAATAGAACATCATTTGCATTGCAACCGAGATAGGCTGTGAAACGCCAAATACTGCAAGCAATAATTGACCGTGGCCACACCGAACCAGTTCGAAAGAGATTGATAGAGAATGGAGCATGAATAAGATTGAACTCGAGACTTGAGAATAGAATGGCAATGATGACATGATTGTGTGCTTCTTTGCGAAGGTTGCTGTCCATGAGCAAATGATAAAGCACGAAGAGATTACAGAGAATAGCCAATGGTACGATGAAGAGAAGAATGATGTACTGTGCTTGACTGGGAACATAATCGTGAAGAGCGTGAACGAGAGAATCGATGAGATCATCTATGTCCACGGTGTTGTTTGTATTGGTTTTGCTGTTCATGAGCATCTTGAGCACTGTTTTTGAGAAAGTGAAGTGAGCAATGTAGAGATGAGATACATGGAATAGATAGGGGAGAGAAAGAGAAAAGAGAAGTGTGATAGATACTGTAATAAATATCGTCAGATGATGACGGTAGTAGAAAGACAAGAAGAAAAAGAGGAAAATATGAATATGGAATGTTATAGAGCTAACTATGATGTCACGCTCTAATAACACCAAGGTCTTCCCTCGTAATCGGAAGCTAACAAATGATAATCCGCATGTTCTTTTCTAATATTATGCCTTTGTAGTGAATTATTTACGTAGTGTAACGGAAGTCGTACATATTCGAGAGGTAATGTTTTATTTGTAACTAGGATACAACGAGATGATAGATGGAAACTTCTAGAAATAAGAATTTATACTTTGCACTTGTTTAGAAAGGCGTGGCAATGAACTTTCCTGACACAGTAGCGATCGTCTATGAGGCGCGAAACACAAGGCATGCTTATAAAGGAGAAATAATGTTTTCATCATTTCACGTTATATCATTGCGTATTCAAATTCAATCTATTTGATTCTTTTGTCACAATATAAAGATAAAGAAAAGTCCTAAAAGGTTGATCTCTATGATGCTTTTTATAAGGGGCGTGAAGTATCTAGAGGAATTGCGGTGACGGGCTTTGAACGATACTCATTTATTACATCCTAATTTTACCTTTTTCTCTGCTAATAGTTTTCATGTTTTGAAAATTTTCTTTCTTACCGATACCATGCTTACAACTTCGACTTTTAAAAGCTTTTGTGATTAGATGTCTCGAATCGTAGCTGTATAGATTAGAAATTTAACCGGGGGAACCAATAGCCGACAATATTTCTGAAGTGCTCTGATCAAAGGTAATGCATGATAACAGATATGATTATATTTAATTAATACGTTTATTTTTACACAAACTAAATCTTGTGACTGTCAAGGTAATTATCTAACATCTGGTTTCATTTCATATCCTTCGAATACATATACTCCGATGGATCCACCTCCGCCGTTGTTTTATTTTAATTTTAGTTTGCATCCACTCTGCGTAATATGTCTTCCCATTGTTCATATAATCTTTCCTTTAATTTTACATTGTAGATCTTCATAGATTGACTGATCTCATCGAGATTCGCATGCATTAATTTCTCGACGAGATCATCGGTAGAGTTGAAATAAGTTATATATGGCCATTGATAAAAATCACTGAATTGCAACCAATAACGAATCGCCTTTCGATCAAATTCGTTGTTTGGATCGGGAACTTCTACTCCCAGCACACCTGGAATAATCGAAGTATTACTTGGTTGCGAATTAACATCATCCCAAGTACGCTGGTCGATGACACGATAAATATAATGCCATTCCGTGAGCAGATCAATGGACGGAAAAAACAATGGAATATTCATTCGATATTGCTCGAATAGACTCATCAAGGAAACCTGATATGGCACATAGATCATTCCCGGATGACCTGCAATGTCTGAATAATCGTAATGATCTTTGTAGAGAGATCGCAAATAATCGACAGTCAATGTTGAGTTGAGCCGTTGAATGGAATGCGTCAGATTGAAAATAAATTCTGAACGAAACTGTTGTTTGAAGATAGTTGCTATAAGAAAAGATCTTCCTGGTTTTGGTGAATAGGACACTTTCGTATAATCACACAAAGACGGCAAAATAATTGGTTTAATACCGGTAAAATATCGGATATATTCAGCATCGTACAAGTTATTCGCAGCGATAATATTCCTAAATGGAAAAGTAGGAAATCTAATGTTCCTTGCGGGAGAATTTAAGCAAATACCGAGGATTCAAAGCTATGAGTCGAAAATTTTTATTCCATTTTGTCCATTCTTCGCGAGAAAATCTTCCCATTTCATACCTCGTCGATGCTATGATAATCAATGGTCGATTGAAAGGCATGAATACTTCGCACATCGCTGTTGGATGAAAACAAATAAACGCGTCAACCTGGTTCATCACCGGATCATTCTTATAAGCTTCATAAAATTCTTGACGTTCTTTAATCGTTGGTGAAATTCCATTTTGTTTATTCAAAACTTTCAATTTCTCTGCACAAGTTTTCGTTAGACTACAATGATTTGACAGGCTATTATCTATGAGAACAACGTTAAACGATTGCAGTTGATACTTGACATCCTGTATGGTACTGTGAAACACATCAATATACCAGAAATGCGTATGTATGTTGGAAATTTCTTCTCACCTTATGTGAAAATCATTACTCCAAATAGTTAAATTCCGTCTCGAACGTTTAATTATCGTTTGAGGCTTCTGTGGTAGATTAATCAAGAGTAGAAAGCTGCTGATTGAAAGTAACACCATGATCAGTTGTCTCATCGTTTTGAATCGACGATATGGAATTCGTGATAGTCGAATCGATGTCATATGCAAGCGTGGGATCAATTTTGAGACGATATGTTTCTTTTCCTATTCGATCTTATTTCAACTATTGGCACGTGTGTTGTGACTCATTGAACCATGTCGTGTGTAACGTCATGAGAGCAATGAAGCAGTATCGTTACATTCATTAGAAGAGGAGAAAAAAGTAATCATCAATGATCAACCGTCACCTTATGATATTTCAAAAAAATACATTCAAAGCAGAAAGAAAAGAAATCAACGTGTGTAAGTGTGTGTCGAATATGAACACGTAATGCAGTATAACAATTATTTCAACACTGTCGACAGTTAACGCAGTGCTCCGAAAGTTGTTTTACATGTTGAATTTTGAGTGTTGATCTCGGAATGATTTTTTCCAACAAAAAAACAAATTCATTTTGAAAACAAAAAGAGAAGATTTTCTTTATTTTTCTTCGAAATGTTGTTTATCGTCGTTTAAACACGGCTTATTTTTCACGTCCTCTGCTCGCCACGAGAAAGAAAGAAAAGAATAACAACATGGTGTCTAAGTTAACAAAAAAAAAACACTTTTTCTTACATTCCTGCAATTTACTTCATAGTTTCAGCCAACAACCATGGCGAACGACAACCAACAAAAACTAAAAAAATCTTTAGAATTACTGATTACTGCTGTATCGGATGAAGTTAAAAGTCCCAAGAATGATTTGAAGGCAAAAATTCAAGCAGTTCTTGGTCAAAATCCATTTTCATCATCAACTCAATGTCGAGGTTATCTTTTACGTGCAGCAGAACCATTCGTGAATTTAGGTAAAGTTAACCTGGCACAAGCATTACATGATCTTCGAGGTCGACTGGCTCTAATCGATGCGGCTCAAGCTGCCTATGACGGAAACTTTTCGATCGTGAAAACTTTCGTGGAAGCCTATCCAAATTTGAAAAATGCATCCGGTGTTTTCGGAACGACTCTCCTCTATTCATCAGCAAGGAACAATCATTTTGATATAGTTAAATACCTTATTGAAACAGCTGACTGTTTAGTGAATGGGGAAAATGTTGAATATATTACTGATCAAGCAGCGGCGTCACCCAAAGCAACCGTTGGCTCCACTGCACTTCATGCGGCATGTTACAACGGACGGTTGGATATTGTGAAATACCTCATTCAACATGGTGGTGACTATTTCGCGGTGAATAATATTCACGAAACTCCGATTGAGAATGCACAGTATCAAAAGAATGTTCGAGAGTTTTTCTGCAGTTTTCTTCTCTATTCATATTCGAGAGAAATTGCTCGTGCTCCAACGAAGACAGTTCTCGGTGAGATTCGCAAGATGAAAGAGTTGATCACCGATTGCTTTTGGGAATATAAACCCGTTGTGGCTAATCAATGGTTTTCATTTGGTTCCGATCACGCTGCGCAACTTCAAGAATCTCTTAACGAACAGCAGTTCAACAACAACGTACCTTTGAGTGGGACAAGAGATGCACATTGTGTTTCACTGATACGATTCGTACGTTTCAAACGTAGTGATCCGGATGATGGAAACTTTGCTTGGGTTCGTTGTCGCGGATCGTCTCTACTAAACTTTCATTGCTATGGTCAATGGCAATTGATGTTCAACCAGCATCCAACTGCTGTAACAAATCTTTCATCTCTATCACAAATCTTTCAGACATCATCGCCAGATCCAATAAAACTCCATTCGTGGTATAACTTCGATGAAGAAAACAATTTTCTACTCGAAACGGCAGTGAACTATCGACGAAAATATCTTAATGTTACGCCAGATTTTCTCAAGAAGGAAAAGCTCGTATTCGATTTAGAAAACTTTGCATTTACCAACCAACAGAATACAATTACTGGATTTCTTCGTTGGATACCACGAATCATTGCTAATGACAGCAAGTTTACCGTACTTGATAATTTTCAAATACCGAACAATAGCGATTGTTTACTTTTGACAACCGCGCGCACGAAAACAAGCAAAACTACAGGAGATAATGCAGAAATGGAACCCTATAAATTGAAATACGAACGCGTCTTTAAAAATGATGAAATAGATTTACCCGAAAAAAAGGTGCGAACAAAAAAAGCTTTCTTCAAACTACAAACTAATCTGAAACTATCTATTTTAGTCATCATCACATGATAAAGATCTCGGAACATTACTTCACGTTACTCAAGATAGTTTAACACAGACTGACGTAAGTCACTAATACATTGAAGATAAATTCTATAGAACGATTCCGTCATTGTTTAGGTCGATGTCATTGTCGTTTGTACTTCATCAAAAGCTCTTCTCGGCAATGTTCTAAAATTCCTCGGTAAATCTGCTGAAGAAACCTTTCTGAAAAAAGTTCAAGAAAGCAAAGACGAACTCATCATTAGCATTCCTACAAATAAAAAACTCCCATCGAAGATGGTTTATTTTGTTCAATGGCAAGCCAATCCCGATCCTCAGATAAATCGTGATTCGATCGAAAATCTTGTTGCACAGGTGGTACAACAAGCTAATAAGGATGGTTTTAAGAGCATTGCCTTTCCTGCGATCGGTTGTGAAGAACAAGGATGTTCGATAAGTACAAGTGCTCAAATATTAATTGATGAAGTTGTTCGTTGGGTTCTCAAATCTCCTATAACAGTCACATTTGTTATTTTAAACAGGAGAATGGATATCCATGAAGAATTTGAGAAACGAATCAATCGATATAAAAAACAAGGACAAATTTCGATTTCTGTTGGAAAAGGAACAATATTTGTCGAAAAAGGAAATCTTACTAAGCAAAACGTAATCTATTTATATTCATTTTTTAGTTGGAAATATGTTTTCGTATGTGTTCTCATAGGTTGATGTCATTATTGGAAGTTCCTCCTCGGAAAACCTTCAACGCGCTTTATTCAAAGCCGGCGGCGATGAAGTAGAAACCACATACCACAAAGAAGATACTGGTAATCCAAATTCTTTGATTATATCAACTCCGCCTGGCAATTTGCCATGTAAACGCGTATTTTTCCTTCGATGGGAGCCTGCGAGTGATCCCGATGAGCTCCGACAGTCGATCATTGACTTGATTTGGAATCTAATTCAAAATGTTAACTCGCATCATTTCAGTTCCATCGCATTTCCAGCCATCGGCTGTGGTGAACATGCGTGTTCAGTTGATGTCGTAGTTAAAACAACGGTGAGAGAAATGAAAAAACAAATTCTCACACGAAAATTGCCGTGGACAGTGAAGTTCATCATCGAACCTAACCAGCAAACGATTTATGATGAATTTTGCCGACATTTATTATCATCCGATGACAGTGAGATCTTTCCAAAGTTAACTAATTGTAATAAAGGTTCTTTCCATAGATAAAAAACCGGATGGAGATTTTCAAGTGCCTTCAACATGGCAGAAATCCAAAGATCATAAAATTCGATTTATTGTACCACCAAACAGTCAAGAATATAAATCCATTATCAATGATTTTCTTCCACCGATGACTCCATACTGTAAAGAAATCATTCGTCTTGAACGTATTCAAAATGAACGATGGTATATGCAATATCTTGCACATGCGAGAGATTTCCAGAAACGTTTGAATGAGAATACCGAAAAGCGTCTATATCACGGATGTCCTGAAGTTGCCGCAGATGCGATCATTGAAGATTGCTTCAATCGAAGTTTTGCAGGAGTTAATGGTAAGATCGTACGTGTCTTCTTTTCTTCAGCCATGTTTCTTCCATGCCTTCTTATAGGAACGTCATACGGTTATGGAGTATATTTCTCGTCGAATGTCATCTACAGTCACGGATATACAAGAGCAAATGCGAATGGAGAACGATGTATGTTTGTTGCTCGTGTTCTTGTTGGCAAGTCAACATTAGGAAATAGTTCGATGAAAACTCGACCGATTGGGTTCGATTCGACAACCGATGGAAACCATATGACGGTTACCTATCACGATGCTCAAGCTTATGCGGAATATTTAATTACATATAAATAAACAAAACATTTCGATTGAATTTTGACTTTTAAACGAGATTAAGATCAAACAGGTTTTCATTGAGAATAAACATTTTGAGTCTTTTTTTTTATAACATAATTCTTATCAAATTTGGTAACAGTAGAAAAGATAAAAGCATGCTGAATATTTCACTCATCGCAAGATTGACAAAATGTTGTTTGAGGTTGTTATATTCACACTCGCTGTCCGGTTCGTTTCGGCAGGAAAATGTCCTGGCCAAGCGTATTCGACACCGTTCAATTCATCTTCACCGATTTTGACAAGGCAATTAAATGTTTTCTGGTCGATTTACGGTACGTGTGAAGAAAAACTGGATACAAATGATAATCCATTCGGTGATAATCCTGCATGGGCGGAATGGGATGCAATAAAATTCAGTTGGAATAATCATAATGGTTATCGCGATCATGCCCAAGCAACGTTATCTCGATTTCCAATTAACGGAATCGATGGGACGATAGGTAATATGTCCGATGGTTTCATTTGGTCATGGATGGATTCAGAACGATGGCCGGATGCTCGCGGCTCACATGGATCAATCGCTTCTTACCATTTCGATCAATTACCGCGATTCCCCGCTGCTGTCTATCAGTACTACGCCTGGACTCGCAATCGAACATTTCTCCAAACCATTCTTCCACGAGTTGAATTCGTCATGACTTACTTACTAGTGAATATGAATGGATCCTATGGTATACCAATTAATCGAGTCAATGATGGAACACCAGAAGCTAGTCGCCCAAGTACGTACATGGACCAAGTGAAATCAGGTTGGAAAGATACATGGGTTACAATGACGTTCTATACAGCTCTCACAAGTATGGTGGAATTAGAAAAGGTTGTTGGAAATTACAATCAGATGAAGTTCTATCAAACATTAGTGAATAATTTTGGTGAAATCTTTGATGGTGCTTTTTGGAACGAAAGCTTAGGTCGATATGTCGGATGGGTAGATCGAAACGGTTATCAACATGATAGTGGTTATGTATTTATTAACCTTGAAGCACTTGCT